CATCTTCAGCACCTTGAGAACCTAAAATCTCACATATGATATCTGTATCATGATTGTATTTGAAAGAAATGAACAAGGAATGAATAAGAAAAGATTGTATGTTGAAAATGGAATTAATTGAACGAGAAACCCAAAACTTCCATCACATGCGTTTTATTATTAACGGTACTGTATGTGCTTTATAATCATTTCTTGTTGGCAGTTTCAAACGATGTAGTTGCAACCATATAAATAATCCGTGTTTAAAAAATGGTGTGAAATATATTCTTGAATTGTAGCCTTTTAAATATATGCTTGACAGCGATTATGTACGTTCGTTTGAAATGATAAATTACTTGGTATTCGTGTGAAAAGTCTTGTACTGTTTACCATATGACTTCTGACATTTAACCTTCAACAACCAAAGTCATCTTTAAGTATCTGTTTTGCAGTTTTATATATCCTGCAACGGTATTGCGTAGTTGACACTAAGTAGTATAAGTAGACTAGTTCTGCTCCATTATCACAGCTCAGAACAAATCACAGGAAGTTCCATCTTTGTAAACATTTCACGAATCTATTTTATTTTAACTAAAATCGAAAGGTTATTTTAGTGACACATTGAATGCCAGATGAATCATCTCCGCCTCATTGTACAGTCTTCGTATCATCATTGTAGCTCTTTAAAATATTGGGTTGAATTATTATTCAAAGGATCCATTTTTGTGTTTCCAGAATTTGTTTAATTCTCACAAAATTATCTGCCAATTAGCAATTACTGCGTGACATTTACATATCAGCTGGCCACGCCGACATTTTTCCTGCGCCATTTCTTTAGTGACTGCCATCTACTTTCATTCTGACCACATCACATAAAACAACCCACTGTCAGTGCGCGGCACGGCTAAGTGCACCGTTGATTACGCACAAACAACTAATGTGGTGTCGTTATTCCTACTCGTTAAATTAGCGCAGAATGAAACTCATTTCACTACAGAGTTAATTAAATTCCTACTATAAAACTAAATGAAATTAACTTTGACAGTGTGATTGGTGATGTAGAATGAACAATCCTCTCAGTAAGCCTCTTTATATCCAACAAGGTCCCATAACCGATCGATCATTCTTTTAAATTTCTTTTTATAGTTGACTAAAATAAAAATAATAGCTGGCAAATGTGTGAAGCTAGAATGGTTAGTACTTTATAGGATATTAACATTAATTTAAAATAATATGATGGTATGAACTAGATTAATCTGGCACAGGGTAGAGATCAGCGGCGTGCTCTTGTGAACGTGACTGAAAGCAAGTAAATTAATTCATCTGAAACTTTATTATAGTTAATTAGTAATTACTTCTGCTACAAGACTTTACTAAAATATAGGCGTGCAAATCTCGGTTGTTCCAAAACAAATAAAATATCTAAGTAATATAAAACTACGGCCATATAACTACATATTTAGTGTTCGATGTCTGTGGAAATATAAAAAGGAAAGATTATTAACGAAAAATCAATCTTGGGTTTATCAACCGTCATGGACGAGCAGACGAGTGAGTTTGTTGAACTCTGTCCGTCATCGTATTCAAAAGAGCGTACACCTAGCCAGATGAATCCAGTTACACACCTGAAAATACAGTATTTATAACTATTGTCGTATTTTAAATTCTTTATTTTAGCGCTAGCCTGCAATTGGCTATGCAGCTGTTGTCAAGAACGTTAAATAAATTTAAATTAATTGAACTGGATTATTTTGTTATAATTATGACAACTACTTAGATTCGTACATGCAAGAATATGAACGCTGATTGATAAATGGAATTCTGTTGATTGATGTTCAATTGCTGAGTACTATAAGTCTGTCTTCTTCGTTGTTGAGACTTGCGTGTACAACTTCGTCCACCCCTGATCCGAGAGGTTCCTGCTTTGCGCACGTGAGGCTATTTAGTATTCAGATCGAACGTTTCATTAACACCAGCACGTAGAATGCAGTATACAACAGGTGCGCGGCGTAAATTCCTTAAATGTTCACTTTCATTTGCGCAGTCTTCCGGAAGAGGACCTTGCATTCGACCCCAAGCTGTATGGTTACATCATTGGCCTTGGCAGTGAGCTGTAACTAGTACGTTGCGCAGTGGGAGTTGGTTTCGGATTGTAGAGGGCAAATATGCATAAGAACGGACAGGAAGTGAATACTTAGAACATTGACGTCATTTGTACGTGGTGGACTTAGATGAATGTATTTCCACGCTGTGTGTTATTTTGTTTTGCGTTGAAATGTTGGTGACTAGTCACAATACCAAGAAATGAACGTAAATAAATAAATAAATCCGGGTTACGTGATCGATTCTTAGGTTGTTGAATGACGTTCTCCAACTGCAAAAATATATAGCTTTGAGTAGTGGACAATTGTTATGATCAAGTGAACCGTTGTATGTAGTTGTAACTTCATATCTGAAGGGCATTTAACCCGATAAGATAGGAGAGACATATAATTTGGGGATATATAAATTAATGTAGAGTTTATTTGAAAGCTTCTCGGCAACCTATCAGCTGGAAGACATACGTGTAAATTCAAAGATAATAAATAATTGTACCAATTACTTTGTTTTGGCTTTTATTTTTTATCACTTGATTAAAATTGTTAAATCAGAATGTTTCGAGGAATAGATCTTCCTTCGAGAGATTTTTAAACTGAGCACCTGCTATGTTGGATTCGGCAGAACGAATTATACAGACACACAAGAGAAGAATGAAATGATTCTTGTAGAAACTTGGCGTGAAAGCGTGGTGTGGACTTAGTTGTGTCCAATTGGAGGCTTTTAAGACTACTGCCATGAACCTTGAGATTCGGTAAAAAGCAGGTAATTTATTTACTGGCTGAG